CCATGTGGGACCCTCGCCTGGTGGCCGGGGATCGAACTGGCGCTGCAGAGGCTGCGGGCAGCTTCGCGGCCCAGCGCTCAACCATTGTGCCACCAGAGGAGGCCCCACACACACTGTATATATTTAGGAGTAGAGGTTCACACTTACTCAAATGTGGTACGTTTGCATACCACACCACCAATAATACCAATAACTCTCCCAAACTCCATTGGGCCCCCTCCACCCTTTGCTCCCACCTCTTCTCACCTCTGGTAACCTCTGCTCTGCTCTCAGAATCCAAGTATTTGGTTTGTCCATTTTTTTTTTTTTTTGCTTTGTTTCTTTTTATTCCATGTGAGTGACATGATGCCCTATTTGTCTTTCTTCTTAACTTATTTCACGTAGCATAATCCCCTCAAGTTCCACCCTGGTTGTCACAAATGTCAAGATTTCATCTTTTTTTAATAGCTGTGCCACATTTCACTCTAGATATGCCTCATCTTCTTCATCTACTCCTCTGTCAGTCCGCAGTTTGGGCGCACGTGTAAGTGATGCTACCTGTTGGTGTGGCTGGGCGGCATCGCCATCCACAGCCAGCCCATGGAGAGTGTGGCCACCAAATGTGAAATCTCCTCAAATGTAGAACTTGTGAAAGTAGAAGATGCAATAGGTTCTGGGAGTATGACAAATAAAAAACAGCTTTCATGAAACCCAAATCTTGGAAAGTCAGATGTTTTCTGGGGATTTTTTCACCACAGAAGAGATAGGTGAAGTGCTAGAAACGAAACTATAAGAACTGGAAGGGAAATACCATCATCCACTTACTGCTTAAGAACTGCGGGACTATTGTGTGGAAGAGCACATGCCCGCGTGGAGTAGTGATATTCAGTCTGTCCACAGGGTGGCAGCAAACCTGTAGCATCTGTCTCAGCGGGGGTGCCGCCAGCACAACAAAGTGAGCTGCAGAACCCCTTCTAGGCGTTTCAGGGAGCCCTTTTATTTGACTGAACTTATGAAGACAATTTCCTACCCGAGGAAGGGAAAATTACTTCTGTATATTTCAATTGTCATGATCTTTTGTTCCTTGAGTGTTCCAGAATAAATCACTCCAGTCAATGGAAAAGAAATAAGCCCCCAGTCCAAGGTGGGGTACAAAGTTCCATTTCTGTATGTCACTCAGTTGGAATGTGGTTTAAAAGGTGACGTCATAACTTCCCACTTCAAGTCGGAGGACGTGGTCATTTATTTGGTGTTGCTTCTGAGCACAGCTTTGAATGTCGTCTTCATCAGTGACACTCACAAGGGTCTACATTTGGTGTTTCCTAGGCAACCTTGGTGGGTAGAGGGTGTGCTGAAGTCCTGCCAGCTCAAACCACCATGGGAGTTGATCTGGGGCCAGGCCTACAAGTTTACAGTGGGTGGGAGAACCAGAGACAGAAGACCTTCTGGGAAATAAAGGGTCTCTGGGGATTTCTGTAAATTCAGGTGCTATACCTGGGGCTGGGCATTATTTCTTCTCCTTGTGTTAAAGAATTTAGACAAGGGAGTCACAGATGTCCTGAAAGCCGGATTAAAACTATTTGGAACTCGACCTGTTTTCCTTGGTCTTGGGTCAGCTGTCCCTCCAAAGGCTCCTTGCTGACTCCTGATGACCTAGCAGGTCCCTCCAGCTTTGTTCCACAGGATGTGCCATCTGCCGCCTTGCTCTGCCTCCCCTCCCAACCACGGAACTGTTATTGTCCCTGACCAGCAACGAGTGGCAAGATCTTTTATTAAAAAGATCAGTAGGTCTATATATAAATGTTTTAATGTATATACCTGCCTCTGAGATTATCTTATTAAGAATCCCTTAATAATAAGCCTTTCATTTTATTGCAGAAGACACTATTATAATAGCACAGCTAGGGAGGAGACAGCTAATTATCAAGATGAATCATTTAGCACGGTGGAAGGAAAAGTTCCCTGGTGTAAAAATATCTAGTGAGTGACATGTTACCAAATTTTCACAAAATAGATTTCCTTGTCATGTAGACTTTGATTTCTTTTCCTCACAGAGCCCAAGAACCTTCCTGATCAGGATTCCTGTCAGGGGGGCAGTTCCCAGTAGGAAACAAGGAGCGGAGGCTTCTGTGGGGCAGTTGCTTGGTGAAACTCCACCAGTTCTCCCCCCACCCAGTGCTGATTTCCTTCTGGATCCTTCCCTGGGGCAGGCTGTAAGCCTTGGCTTTCACTCTGCATGAAGTGCAGGTCACTGGGCAATCTCAAGCAGGGAAGTGTCTTGACCACTCGGCATCCTCTGGGTGTCACAGCAGCTCAAATGAGATGGCCTGAAGGGAACCCGCCCTGCAGGGAGGTGAGGGGAGACCAGGGAGCCAAGCCCTGGCCTTTCTTTCTTCATCTTCTCTTGCCTTCCCTGCCTGTTTCTCCTTTGCACTTAACCACCCTCTGACATACTGAGATATTTATCGCTGTATGTCTGTCCATCCCTCCAGAACGTGGGCTCCTCATGGCTGCCTGGGGCTGGCTCTCCACTGTGTCCTGACACCTCCCTCAGATCTGGCTCCCGGTCAGGGGTCGTCTTACATGTCAAATGCCCTCCATCCGAGAAGGGTGCAGAGCTGCCTCTGCAGGCTCAGCCCGCACCTCATGTCACCATTTTGTATTGCTCGTGGCCTGGTTCTGACCAGCTCTAAAGATGAAGGCCCTTGACATCCAGAGACCCACACATCTTTGTGTGCCTGGTAACCTGGCAGCGTTAAAACCTCTCCTGCCTGCTGAACCTTGCTGCATCCCTGCCTCAGGCCTTGTTCCGTTTTTCCAGAGACCTTTGAGTGGTGCCGGATAAAGGAAGAAAACTGGCATTTGCAAATTTGGTTAAAATGGCTGCTATTTCAACCACTTCAGGAAGGGCAAACTGTTGTACCTATTTTTGTTATAATTACTCATTCTCTCCTACCTCATTAAGCTTGCTTCTTTCAAGCATGAATACCTGTTTGAATCTGCATAACCTCTTATTATCGACCTACCTTTGTTCATGCACAAATGATTGCCATTTACAGCTCTTCTGCCGGGCTCTTTTGTAAATAATCTAAATTTTTATTTTCTCAAAATGGAAAGAAATACAGTATCTTGCTGGTTAACAAAGTTTCTATGTTTTGCTGGATTACAAGTCCCTGAGACTTAAACAGATGTTCTGTGTCCCCACATCAGTGGTACTCAGGTCTAAGTTGAGAAAGGGGGGTGTTGTGATGGGCCTCAGGAGCCCTGACCTGCCTCCACACAACACCACTGCCCAGGCTTCTCCCGGCCTCTGTTTCCCCAGGTCTTAATGAGGCCATAGCTGTATATTTCAGAAATATTGCAAATATGATTTTGAAGGTGAAAGTTCCCCCCCCCCCAGACTACTTCCTGTGATCTTTGTAAGGAAACTGGATGGAATGAAAAATAGATATTGAGGCCTTTTCATATTCCTTGCTGGTCTTCAGAGGCAAAATTCAGATAAGCGTATCAATTATACCTTTTGTTTCTACTCAAAAACTCATGACTGCTCACTCAAAGGCCCCTTGTTTTTAATCTTAAAACATTGTTTACACTGTCCCAGCTGGATGGCACCAGATCCCAGGGTTTGGCACTCCAGTGGTTATTTTCATACCCTGGGGAAAGAAGTAACAGTTTGAGACAGGGCCGGGTGGGGAGGGAGAAGACTGAGTTCTGAGAAGTGTCTGACTTTGCAAGGATTCTCACTGAGCATCCCCAGTCCTTGTTCCAGTGCTGAAAATAGTCAAGGTTCTTTTGTTTCCACAACTTTTGAGAGGATAATGAAAAGGAATTTGGGGCCCAGAGTGTCTCGCTTTGAAATGCGAGCATATTCATGGTGTTCTGAGTCAGACTTGGCCGGGCACCATTTTCTTTTTGAAGAGCAGCAATATGATGCCTCCAGCCGTCTTTGTGATCTTGATGTTGAATCCAGATTCTGGGCGCTTGGTCAACCCAACCCTTCTGCACCCAGCACGGCTTGTCCTGCTACCTGGAGGCCGAGCTGACTTCACCCAGAGAATCCAACTGTCACTCTGAAGCCTTAGTCACTCATAACTATTAGAAGTAAAAAATCCTTTTTTTGGGGGGAAAAGGCAGACATAAGTGTCACTTTAAGTGACATCATTTATTTCTGAGCTCCGGTGGTAGGAGATACATAGTTGAGTGTGCATGCTAGAGAATGCTAGTTTATTTTCTAGAAACTTGCATTTTATCAGTGCAAAAAGGATTTTCTTTGCAAACGATTATGCTTTTAGGCAGGCATTTGAGAGTCACAGAGGCTGAGAAAAGTGCAGTGGCAATTCTCAACTTCAAGGAGGAAAAACAAGGTCGTGCTTTGTTTGGGAGACTCCTTTTTACTGGCCCCTAAAGAGTAGATGTTGGCATTGAAATCGAAGTCAGCAGTTTCTCTGCTCCAAATAAAGAATGTAGTGCAGAGTGAAGGGAGACTTAGCTTTTATGTTGATGACTAACCAAAGAAATGCAGGGAGAATTTTAATCCATCAGGTGTTTAGGACTAGGAAAGGCCAGTTGTGTTATTAGGGTCCAACCGTCATAGCGGGTATAGACAGTTGGCCTTGGAGTGTGTTCGTGGATAATCGGCGGGGGGTGGAATATGTCACAGAATTATGTAAAATAATCAAAATAATTGTTAGTCTTTAAAGCCTAAACTCGTGGCCTCCTAAACCAGCGGTGACGCACTACAGTGGCACTGAACCCTGGGTAAGAAAATCCCGGCCAACCCAGGGTCTGTTTTGGAAATGTTCTAGAGCCAGTTAACACAGTGTGCCTTTTTAAGCGTAGCTTGCTACGTGTTGGTTGAGAAACACATAGCCTTTTATTAGGAACATGAAGCAAGCTCTTTGAGCTGCAGTATCACGGAGGGTGAGTTTAATTGCTGGGATTAATAAATCACAGCTGCAGAAGTTAAATTCTTGGCAGGATACTTTATTCAGCTGCCTTGCCCTGGCCCCATTACATTCCAGATTGATGGTCTGCATTATGTCCGGAGCCGGCAGTCAGCTCGCCCTCTTCCTCTGCGGCTGTTGGGTGATCGCCCTGGGAGTCCACACCGGAGCTGAGCATCTCCAGGCCGAATCCTACGTGGCCGCCGTGTACGAGCACCCGTCCGTGCTCAGTCCCGACCCACTAGCCCTCACCAGCCGCCAGATGGCCTTGGAGCTCATGACGCAGAACCTCGACATCTACGAACAGCAAGTGCTGACCGCAGCGCAAAAGGCAAGGCACGCTCCTGGGTTAGCGCCTCAGCCCGCCGTGTAGCCTGGCCCCTGTCAGTGGTTTCTGTGGGCCTTCTGGAAAATCAGCTGCACAGCTACAGCAGACTTGAATAAGTCAGCTGTGCAGAGTCTCACTACTGGAGAGTGGTCCAGGGACCAGCAGCATCGGCACCTACTGGGAACTTGTGGGAAATGCAGAAGTCTCCCTGCCCCACGGCTGCTGAATAAGCATCTGTGCTTTAGAGAGCAAGACACTGGGTGATGCTTTTCACCCCCAGCCAGAGAAGCCCAGGGCTAGATCCCTGGTTCTCAAGACACGCCAGCGAGGGAATCACCTAGCCAGTTGTACACAGGTGTGGGTGCCTCAGTCCCTGCCTGACGAGTCTCATGGGGTGAGGGCTGGGCATTTGGGGTTTTCTAAGACTCCCCAGTGGATTCTGATGTGCAGAAAAATTTGAAAACTCCAACACAGTGGCCTCCCTGGGGCTTTCAGGGTTAACTGAAGCACTTTAAACATCCATAGCTCTGCCATTTGCCGCCTTTGGCTTACTGGGACTCATTTCTGATCTCCGTGCCAGACTATGAACAATCTGAGACGTCAGTCCAGACAGAACCGAGCCCAAACAAAGGGAGGTGGGTGCCAGCCTTTGTGAAGGCTTCCTGCCTGGCCCTAATTTCCCACTCCCGCCAGGAAGGGTGGGGCAGAGAGGAAATATCAGTGCCAGATGTTACTGTAAGAAAATACCCTGTTGGGAAACCCATAACCAAAGGGAAGTTTGGCGGCCACTTAGCCCTGGTGGTGGGAAGACCAAAGCCAGCTGTTAGAGGAAGACTCGTTGGGCCCTGACCGGAAGTAAGCTCTGTGCCCACCACCCTTCCCTGGTGTCTGTGAGGTTAGAGGGCAGAACCACTCATGCCAGTGCATCCTGCCTGCCACAGACCCTGTCTCTGCCTCTGTCTTGCTACATTTAAAAATTCTGGCCTGTAATGTAAGCAGTTGTGCACGCACACATAAACACGCACACTCACACACCCAAGTTGGGAAGGGAGCTAGAAGATCCTGAGGTCAGTTTCTCCTTGAACACCTTCAGTGGCCAGGAACTCACTGTCTCACAGGTCCCCTGGTTTGTTCTAATTGAGGACCATAGGAACTTCTGGATGGATCTTCAGTGAGCAACAGTCGGCCTCTTTGTCATTGTCACCCCCTGCTCTGTCCTTTGCGCTAAACAGAGCAGACCAAGCTCCTTACCGTGGGGTGCCATTGTCCCAAGCTAGTGGGTGGCTGTCTCGGCTCCCTGACATCCTCCCTCGGCCTCTGTCTCCCCAGTGCCTCCCACAGTCCCCTGAGAGATGAGGTTTCTAGTCCTTCTACCAGAGACTCCACCCCACGCTTCATGAAGTTCCTCCCGTTCTGCCCGACGAGGACAAGGTGAAGGAGCGCTGTCACCGTTCTCCTGCTTGGCGTAGTCCCCAGAGGACTTTCGACAGCCACATCTCACTGGTGTTCTAGGCACCCGCTGTCAGATGAAACTTCACACACACACACACACACACACTCTCTCTCTCTCTCTCTCTCTCTCTCTCTCTCTTACAGAGTCCATTTATTTAACCCGAGAGCAAGACTTCACACGGGTGCTGTTACATTTCATCACCCAGCCTGTGGGGCTATTTGGAGACTTTACTGTCTCTGCATATCAGTTACCTTCACGTCACTCACACCTGTGATCCGCACCTCATTTATGTCGATGCTGAAGTCAGTGTTAAAAACTGCCAGGCCGCATGGCAGACCTCGAGACCCAGGTCCACTGGCGCATGCTCTGTGCAGCGATGTTTGCTTGCGTGGCACCAGAAGGTCACCACCTCTTGCTTCTTTCTGTGCACGGGGCCATTCTAAGATATTTGGCAAATGCCACACTATAGTACACACTCCCCTTATTTTAGTAATGAACCCCAGAAGGACTTGGTCACTGTTCGTGCATGAGATGTTTCAGCTCCCCTGTGTGATTTCAGTATTAAAGCAACTTGTAAGACAAATTGGTGCCAAGCATGTGTCACAGTTTTATGTCAAATTCACACTAAGAGCAGAGGCTCCCAAACAAGTCAGTTGACATGACTGTGTGGGGAGAGGCGTGTATAGGGAAGCAGAGTCCAGCATGAAGAGAGCCACCTGGGCTGGCACCTGATTCCTCGGGAGTTCTGGATTTCATTAAGGTCTATCAGAAAATTGCTCAAATTGTTTATCAGGAATGCTCAGTATTCCTAGAATGGGTTGCGAATCACAGCTGACCCCAAGTGCTACCCCCTCTCAGATTTGGTTTCTCCCCTTATTCCTGAACGATTTGTCTACAGGAAATGCAATTTAATATTGATCTGCTATAGACACATAAGTGATAGTGTCTATAAGAAAACATTCATTGCGCTCTATGTCTTATTTGTAAGGAAAATATTTGTCTGACTATAATTTTCAAAAAGTTAAACATATGGCAAATACAGAATGGACCTATGTCTAAGCTTTTCTTTGATTCATTAACTGATGGGGAGAGCAGTGAATCAGGGAAAGGTGTTTCAAAGACAATCGGGGAAACTCAAATCGTGTATCAGTCCGTGGAATGAATGTTGAAATGAATTTACTAATAGATACAAAACTGACCAGTGTCCGGCAGGGCAATAAAATTGTAATCTTTGGGGGATCTCTTACTGAATAACAAACAGTGGTACATCTACAAAGTCAGTTAAGCCTATTAAGCCTATTACAGTACCCGGGATATGTTGGAAAGGCCTGTATTGTTCCTCTTGCTTTGTTTGTTTTGCTTTTATTGAAGTAACTTTGTATCATTTCCAATTTGTGCTAATTTTTCTTTATCGTGTGTAATACGGCAACTAATCACACATTATGATGTAGGGAGGATACTCTGGTGTAATCTTTCTGGAAAGCTATTTGGCAACAGGCTAAGAACTTAAAATTTTTTATACTCTGACCCAATAGTTTCATTTTTAAGACTTTAACGAAATAATCAGCGATTCAGTCAAAAATTTGTGTACAACCCTCATTCAAATAAGTGCTCTGAGCACCTTGTATGCACATAGTTGCCTCAATGTTATTACAAAAATTTGGAAAGTATTCACGTGTCTACTAAGAGGTAACAAACCCTAGTGTCCTCTTAAATACAGTGTGGCTGTACACATATATAGTGAGAAAGTGATGATAGAACATCACATATTTGGTATTACCTCAATCATAAACACACGGGCACACACACACAGAAAAATAATGAAAATAGCGAAGATATCACAAAAAGTATCTTTGTCTTGTAGGATTATGGATCTTTACATTTTCTGTTTTCCACACGTTCTACCGCTAAACTTTTGAAGCTTTTATAGCCAGAGGGGAAAAATATGAGTTTGCAGAGCATTCCAGAAATAAGTGACTCAGATTGCCTGTTATTTGAGATTATTCATGCTTGCACTGCTGCCTCCCCCAGCTTCCACACTGGGGCCAATGTTCCAGGCGTGACATTTGAAGCTGCGTAAGCGGAGAGCAGCGGCAGATGAGGGCCTGGCGAAAGGAGCTCAGGGTGCCCTGTTTGTTTGGAGTCCCCAGGTCGCTGGGAGCCCACGGCGTCTCCAGGTGTGGGAAAAGGCCTAGAGGGAGGTCTGAATTCTGAAGGGATCCTCCTGATTCCCAGTCAGGGAGTTTTGAGTTAGAACAAGTCCTTATTTCTATGCTGAAATCAACACACTCGACTCTCACCCACCAGCCCAGTGGGTCCCAACCTTGACTGCGCATTAGAATCACCTGGGGACCTTCAAACAAACACAGTTGCCAGGACCCCGCCCCACCAATATGGTCCTTTGAAACGCATTTTTTAGACGTGGATTTCTGTATCACCCTAAAAATTGCAGAAGTTGCGCATCTGATTTAGAGGCATAGTAGTTAATGGCCTAATATTTTGGGCCTTGTATAATCAGCCCCATTTCCCCCTGCATCACCGAGGGCTCCACCCCGCTCCTAACTCTTTGCTTGGCAAGCTTCAGCTCCTCCAGCCACTCTTACTTATCCCGCCCTCCCCTGACCTGACCCCAGGTTCAGTTCATTGTTGTTCCTAGAGGACTTTGTCTTGTTCCCGCAGCATTAGTCCAGTGACTCATTAGTCCAAGAATAAGACCCCAAAGGGGAGCCCCACCACACTCGTCTCCCCTCTGATTCCTGGGCCAGAACAAGGGCAGGCTGGTCACCAGATGAGGGAATGGAAGAATGAAGAATGAATGGGGGGCAGGGAGTCCCACGATCTGATAACATACTATGCTTTGATGTTTGCGTTTACAGGGTGTACAGATTATAGTGTTTCCAGAAGACGGGATTCATGGATTCAACTTTACAAGAACGTCCATCTACCCATTTTTGGACTTCATGCCATCTCCTCAGTTGGTCAGCTGGAACCCGTGCCTGGAGCCCCACCGTTTCAATGACACAGAGGTGGGTGAGGGTGCCAGCCCTCCTTCTCTGTCTGCTGAAGGCATGCAGAGCTGAGCCAAGCCAGGGGCCAAAAGCTGAGACATATTAAATGTCAGAGAGATCGTAGGCTCCTCTAAAACTCAAAGCCACATTTCCTAAAGGCCACGTGCCACATTCACTCCATTAAATAATGCCTGGTATTACTAAGCATTTACTCATCCGTGACTCATTCTGTTGATTAATTATACAAGAAATACATGAATATAGGCTTATAAAACAAACAGAAAAAAAAAAAACTACTGAAGCCCACCTTCCCACAGCCCACCCCTGTGCTGCTTCCCTTTCTAGAGAAACGTCATCGACCGTCTTTTGTCTATCAACTATATTCTTTCTTTCCTCTGCATTTCGTAGTTATGGACGTCCTCTTTATGAGCATACTGTAAGCTTGTTGTTTTTAAAACTCTTGCTATTACCAACAGTGTTGCAATGAATGCCCTCCGTATACATATTTTAAACATATCCAAGTTTTTCTGTAAGGTAAACTTCCTAGAAATGGAATTTCTCAGCTGAGGGATAGGCACATTTTATTATTTTAATGATTACGAAAGCTCACCTTAAAAGATTCTGATTTCATACCAGCAACAGTGTCCAAGTGCCTGTTTTCCCACCCTTTGGTCAATGCAAAAGAGAGTCATTTTTTTAAATTTTGCCTATCTTGAGAAGGTGAAAATAGGGCCTCCCTAGTGGCACAGGGATTAAATCTCAGCACAATGAAGCTATTGGCAGCCACTGCAGCATGTGTTTGATCCCTGGCCAGGGAGGTGACCCACATGACACAGCAGACCTCTCCTGTCTCACCTGCTGCTCCCTTCAGCAGTGTATGTAATTCAGTAGATCTGGCTGTTCTGCTCTCCATTCTGTCTCTGGTGAATCCTCTCACCACCCCCATACCTCTGGCCTATACCCTAGATCTTATATGCATAAATAAATAAAATAAATCTTAAAAAAAGGATGAAAATATCTCATTTTAACTTTCACATTCATATTATTAATTGTTGAACATCTTAGATGTTTGGTCCCTATTTATTTTTGTTCTATGAATCACCTGTTCATGTTCTTTGCGTCTTTTCAGTAGTGGTTGCCTTTTATTGATTTATGCTTGCTGTTTATATATTATAGGCAGTACAGGCACTCTTCTATTTCAAAATGATAAGGCAACAGGAAGGAAATTTAAAATCCATTTATTTTGCTTTTTTTCCTTTAGGTCCTCCAGCGTCTGAGTTGTATGGCCATCAAGGGAGATATGTTCCTGGTGGCCAATCTTGGGACAAAGCAGCCTTGTCACAGCAGCGACCCAGGGTGCCCAAGTGATGGCAGATACCAGTTTAACACGAACGTTGTGTTCAGCAACAACGGAACCCTTGTTGACCGCTACCGCAAGCACAACCTCTACTTTGAGGCAGCCTTTGATACCCCCCTCAAAGTGGATCACATCGTCTTTGATACCCCTTTTGCTGGCAAGTTTGGCATCTTCACTTGCTTTGATATCCTGTTTTTCGAACCCACCATCAGACTGCTCAGGGACTTTGAGGTGAAGCACATCGTGTATCCGACCGCCTGGATGAACCAGCTCCCGCTCCTGGCAGCTATTCAGATTCAAAGCGCTTTTGCCATGGCCTTTGGGGTCAACGTCCTGGCTGCTAACATCCACCATCCATCTCTGGGGATGACCGGAAGTGGCATACACACCCCTCTGAAGTCCTTTTGGTACCATGACATGGAAAACCCCAAAGGTCGCCTTATAACCGCCCAGATAGCGAGAAATCCATTGGGCCTTGGTATGGATAATGCCACAGGTGACATGGATCCATCCCATAGGAAGTTTTTAAAACTCCTGGCAGGAGATCCCTACTGTGAGAAGGACGCTCAGGAAGTACATTGCGACGGAGCCGCCACGTGGGACATGAATGCCCCCCCGACCTTTCACTCGGAGATGATGTATGACAACTTCACGCTGGTCCCTGTGTGGGGGAAGGAAGGCTATCTCCAGGTGTGTGCCAACGGCCTCTGCTGCTACTTACTTTACCAGAGGCCCATGTTGTCCACAGAACTGTATGCCCTGGCGGTCTTCCACGGCCTCCACACTGTGCACGGCACTTACTACATTCAGGTGTGCGCCCTGGTCAAGTGCGGGGGTCTTGGCTTTGACACCTGTGGGCAGGAGATCACAGAGGCCACAGGGCTCTTTGACTTCCACCTGTGGGGGAACTTCAGCACTTCCTATATCTTTCCTCTGTTTCTGACCTCAGGGATGACCCTGGAAAGGCCTGACCAGCTCGGCTGGGAGAATGAACACTATTTCCTCAGGAAAAGAGGACTGACTTCTGGCCTGGTGACGGCGGCTCTCTATGGGCGGTGGTATGAGAGGGACTAGGGGATGGGAGGTGCAGCCCCCTGCACTTGCACAGGCCCCGCCCCGCCTGGCCGGGCTGACCTCTCTACCCTGGAGCCCGTCGTGGGAGCTGTAGGAAAAAGCAGGGGACAGAGATTCCCCCAGGGTTGCTTCCTCTGACTTAAAAATTATGGAGACATTTCCTGATATTTTCTACTCACATTTATCTTTTTCAAGTCACACCTTCCCCCAGCAAACCTCTCTTTACACAATTGGTCTTAAGAGCAAAACAAAAATAAACGCTAGTTCCTGTTTTACACAAACATAAGGCAGTGGGTTTTAGTGCGTGTTTTCCTTGTTCCTGTCGGTCAGGTAATTCCTGGGACAGACAAGCATCTCAAGCAACGCCAACATTTTCTAAGGTAAGAGACAGACTTTTAGAGCAGAGGTTGTGTGACGGGGCAGCCCCGGGGTCTCTCCCATTCCGCCCCCCTGCATGCTCTCCGGATGAAATGGTGATGCCAGAGCCACCGGCAGCGCCATAAATGTGGCTCTCGAAGTAGCTTCTAAAATTGGAAGGGACTTTTTTTTTTCCACATCTGCCTTTCCTCAGTGAACGGAATGTGTCAAGCAAGACGGGTAGTAACTGGAAAGAAAGCTGCCGTGCAGGGGGAGGGAGAGGGAGGGAGAGACTGGAAAAAAGCGCTGCAGAGAAGGGCAGCGGGGAGGTATGAGTCATTGGACTCTCTCTGTACACTGTGTCTCCTGCAGGCGTTCCAGAGGCCTCGGTAGGTCACACTGGCTTCGCGAAGAGCTTTGCAGTGGCCCACAGGTGCAGGACGGAATGATTCCGGTTCAACCCAATTTGCAGGCCCACAGGGGTCCTTCCCTTTGCCAGGGGGCACCGTGCCTCATGAAGAGAAGTTGCCAGAACTGCCTTGGCGGGTGGCCCACTTTAGGCACCCCCTTATAAGTCACTCCACAGGTGCTTCTGGAGCGGCACCCAGTAGAGCACAAACACCGCCACTATTAGTCCCAGATTAGTCCCAGATCCTATTCAGTGTGCGAAGACATCTTTAGTCCGCTGGTTTCAGTATTGTTTGTTTCCAACATTTCAGAGTCAGTTTGACTCAGTGCCTAGTAACTGTTTCAGGTGATTTTTATTGAACTTTTTTTATTTTATTTTATTATTTTTTTAAGATTGATTTATTTATTTATACAAGCACTGGGTACAGTCAGAAGCGCGGGAGGGTGAGAGAATTCACCAGAGCTAGAGCCGGGAACAGAACAGGCAGACTGATGAAATACACTGCTGAGGGGAGCAGCGGGCGGCAGGAGAGGTCTGCACGCCATGTGGGACCCTCACTGGCGGCCGGGGATCGAACCGGCGCTGCAGAGGCTGCAGGCAGCTTCGCAGCCCAGCGCTCAACGGCTGCACCACCGGGGAGGTCCTCAGATCATTGTTAAAGTGGCAAATGGATGATTTTAAAAAGAGAATGGATAGTTTGCCCTTTGCGATTTGCCTTTTCAACGTTGTGGCTATTTAGTTGCATCCTCTTTTAAAATTAGGGTTTCAAAGACAGTATGTGCCTGTATGCCAGGACTGGACACGGTGCAGGTTTTCTGATCCAGCAGACCGGGTAAAGGAGGAGTCAGAGTCCTCAGTGGTTTTTGCAGGTCTTTTATTGGGATTTACCCGGTACACAGCAGGCAGGGGTGCTGGGGGGCCGGGAGGCTGGCAGGCCTCCCAGCCCCCAGCAAGTCTTCACTCTATCTGGGCTCTCCGGTGATCTCGGCTTCTCTTTTGGCTTCTGCTCAGCTTCTATTGACAGCCCTGTGACGCGGCCCTTAAAAAGCACGTCTTAGCCCAGGTGAATCCCATCTACCTAGGCCCACATCCTACTCCAGGTGCCGCCATCAGGCATGCATTCAGGACAAGGATCCATCCTCTATCCTGATGGCGGGAGGGCAGAAAAACCTGACATTTTTCCTTACCCTGAAGTGCCTACTTATCTAAAGTAAAAAACCAAGATTCCTCTCCCTCCCCTTGCAGGGTGCCCCTCCAGAGCCTTTTCTGGTTTTTAGGGTCTGTATCCAGCGCAGGCCCCTTGGGGCAGACTGATCACGTTTCCTCTCATGGCTGCACGGACCTGGGACAGTTTATTTGGTCCTTGCTGGGCCCCACTTTTCTCATCCGTCCAATGTGTGATGTGTACAGAATAATCCATGTGGGAAAGCGTCAAAGCCCAGCTGACTCACGCTCACTCTCCAGGGCCCGAAATGAGTCAGGTCTTCAGGGAATAAGCAGGAACAACCCAATTCCTGAGGAAGCCCTGGGGAGTCCCCCTGGAACGAGCTGGACCTCTCCCACCAGATGACAGGCCTCGCCGGTCCTCCCTGTGCAGGCCCCGCTGGCGGAGCCCGCAGGCAGGCAGCGTGTGACTCCGGATGTGGCTGTCTGCCGCCCACTCGGCTTCCCCACCCCAAACCCCAGGGAAACAGAAATTATCTTTAAAATGCATGTTGCTGCTTCGTGCCAGAAGGATTCCAAGCAGCTCCCAAAATAGAGAGGCCGGCCCCAACTGCAGAGTCGATGGAACTACTTTGCCCGACAGACATTCCTGAAGCACCTGCTCGATGCAGGTTCCTCCTAGAACATTCCCCGTTACTTTCTGCTGATAATTGAGAACTAACTGCTCATGGAGAAAATGGAGAAACAATGGAGGCAGAACAGAAGTTGCGAGATGGCAGAACGGAGTGGAAGATGGGGAAATTAGTGAAATAAATACTTTCGGGGTGGGGAGCACTTGGGACTTGCGTTTTGTGCACTGTGATGCTGAGATCAGGATGCAAGCTTCCCATGACACACAGGTGGGAAGTCAAATGTGTTTTTGCTGACTCAGGCTCGGGGAAGTCACTCGGGCCACGCTTCCTCCGCAGGTACAGCTGTGCCTGTCTGGGGTTTGCTTCCGAAGGAAGCGAGAAGCTCAGGGAGCCAAGTCCACAATGGCCTGAAAAAGACGGTGTCCTAGAGACGGCCGCGCCATGCCCTCTCAGCAGGAGCCCCACCCCTCGCCCGCAGCGGCCCAGGCCTGGGCCTGCCGAGGGAGCCCACCTGGGCCTCCCTGACGCCAGGTGTTCCACTCAGCACCTGTGCCCCGCCCCTGAGCAGCTCATTGGGCCAGGAGCAGACACCTGACCCGACCCGGCCATTCCCAGGGCTGGGGGGTGGCCTCGAGGTGGCCAGATACGGGCCCAGCGCAGAGGGTTAGGTGCTCGGGCGCCAGCGAGCCGCGCCAGTGCCCCGCTCCAAGCTCCCTCCAGGTGAGCACGTGCCCTCGCGGCCAAATGTCTCTGTGACAAAACTGGTTTTAAGTGGTGGGGCTCACGCCTCTGTTCCCCCTTTGGCCTGGCTCTCTGCGGCTACGCCACGACCCGCCTCGTCTTGAGGGCTTGGTCGAGGGCCGTGACGGCCGGCGGCGTCCACGAGCAGTGAGTGCCCCGGCCCCCGAGTTGGTCACCCCGGCGTGTCCCCCTCCCCCAGGGGGCCCGGCCACCAGCCCGGGGCCGCAGCGCGGTTAGGCCGCAGCGGTGGAAGCGCCTGGCGTGTGCCCAGCAGGTCCAACCTTGGCGTGTGGCCGCCTCCAGGTGAGTGTGGGCTGCGAGGCGGTGGGGGAGCCGCTGACACAGGCCGGTGCGGGCAGCTGGCGTCCAGTGGGTGCGACATGTCGCCGGCGGGGAGGCGGCCCGCCCGCTGGCCTGGCTGCTGGAGCCCTTGGGGGCGTCGGCTGGAGGGCCGGGTGGGCCCGCTGGATCCCTGCCACCTGGCTCTCGGCTAGATTGGCGGCTTTGCCGGGATGGCTGGAGCTTTTATCAGAGACTCCGCCTCAGGCCTACCCGTGCGGGGTCTGGGTGTTCAGTGGGCGCCAGCAGCAGGGACATGAGCACGGGTCCAGAGGTGACCAAGGTGACACCTGCAGGTTCCTGCCCAGCTCGTCCCTAAAGATTGTTGTGTCTCGCTGCAAGGATGGTGCGCCGAGGATTCCTTCACCTGCAGGCCCGACGCTAGTCAGACACTGTTGGGTCCCAGGAGGAGTGAGTCTGCACGCCGGCTCTGTCAGGGCTGCTGCTGATTCTCTACTTCCTTCAGCTTTCCGGTGCTTATTTTCCTCAGGTCCCAGATGCAGGGCGCCAGGCACTGGTGCTGTGCTGGATTGAAGGGGTGGGGTGCAAAACCCGCACCTTCCAGACCGCTTGTCCATTGCGCTCCGCAGCGGGGAGCATATCTGTCCCCACGCCCCCACCTCTGGGTGCTGCCTTTTTATCCGTTGTTGTGGAATCTATTTGTCAGAATTTCAGATCCTCTGGATAAACTCATTCATGTGTTGCTGGCGATTTGGGTTTATTTCTTGCTTTTTACTCAAACTCAGAATCTGCTGTCTTTGCTCCTGGTTTTGAAGAGTGAAATGCGCCAGGCAGGTGCTCTCAGGTGGGTTGGGCAGGGGAGGGGAGAGAGCACAAAGCAGATCACACTGAGCAGATCATGGTCGCTCTGAAGTTGGAAGTTCTCGAAGAGGCTTAGAGTGGTCAGGAACGTCTCCCATCTCCAGATTTTACCTCATTTAACTAGCCCACCCCAGTCAGTCATCCGTCAGCCTGGAGTGTGGCCAGTGGTCCTGGAAACCAGTAGCACCTGCGCCTTGTTAGAACTACAAAGCCTTGGGCTCCACCCAGACTTGCTGAATCCGAAACGCTGGGTCAGGGCCCATCGAGCTGTGTTGGATGAGCCCTCCAGGTGGTCCTGGTTCCGAGCAAGTAGGAGACCCAAGGCTGGTGTGGGGCTTACTCATCAGCTCCTCCCCTGTCCCTGAAACAGGCAGGTGTGCCCATTTTACAGAAGAGGGAACTGAGGCTGGGGACTGCTTTGTCTGAGCCAAACCACCCCAGCAATGAGCCTGACACTCCCACGCCAGGACCAGTTAATTATAAACAGTAAATCTGGGGGTTCTAATTTTTTAGACATTGTTGATTCAACTATGGTTTTGGTGTACTTGGCATAAAATCAGGTGTGAAAATTAAGCATTAGCTCTGTGTACTAGATCTCCAAAAATGGTTGAGACAGTATTTCTGGTCCCACTTGCTCTCCAGAACTTTGCCAGCCCCATCAAGAAGTGGGGCGTGCACCCCAGCTGGAGCTTTCATACCACCAACCAGAACACTCTCCTTGCCTCCTCCCCTCATGCTAGTCTTCAACCCATTATTACCCTTTCTGGCTGAATCGTTGGCATCCACATGTATTACTCTGCTTTCATTTTGTTCAACCAAAGGCAAATTGGTGGGGAAATTGCCCTT